TATAATTGTACACTTAGGCAACCGGTGTGGTTTGTTGAACTGCTTGCTGAGTTCGAATGCTTTACTTGCTCATCGCCATTTTTGCTCGGCGCTCGCTTCGGTTGCAACGCGCGACTGCTCTGTGAGCTGTGTCTGCTCCGTTTCCCTAGCCAGAGCGTCCACGGTGTCGTTCGTTCATAGCTAGCTAACAGGGAATCTTTTGCTGAACCAATAAAAGTTTCCCTGCAACTCGATCCGTCTTCTGGAATCGCTCTCGGGGCTCCCGGAATAGGCAACCCTCTAAATTGGTGACCCCGGATCCGGAACAATCTCAACGCCGGATATTTCGAACCTTTCTCCGGTGAGCTCGTTCCATTTATTTTTCATATTTTTCGGTTTTATTTTTGCATACGGTAGCCTATTTTTTGCCTCATTGTTTAAGCCATGGATTCTGTAGAACCTAAGGTAGAGTCTATGCTTAGCGTTGTGTCTCTCTCAGTTCCACCTTTTTGGGACATGGATCCTGTTTTGTGGTTCGCTCATCTGGAGGCTGAGTTTTATAACCACAGAATCACTTCCGACTACGCGAAGTATTGCAAGCTCCTGTCCTATCTCCTTAAGGAGATATCAACGCGGGTTCGTGACGTTATCATTTCTTAGACCGATAACCGCTATGAGGCTCTCAAGGAGGCCACGATTAAGCGTGTTATGCCCTCTGAGAAAGTTCGCCTGCAGCAGCTTTTCAGGGATCTGCAGCTGGGCGACAAACTGCCCTCAACCCTGCTACGGGAGATGCAGCAACTCCTTGGTTCATTAACCATGGGCGAGACTTTACTTCGCGAACTATGGCTACAGCGGCTACCGGAAAACACACAAGCGATTCTCGCTACAGTGAGCTCCGTTTCGCTCACTCAACTAGCAGACTTAGCCAATCGAGTTATTGAACGAGCACAGCCACAAGCCAACGCCAGCAAGGCCCATGCCGTCGCGTCCCAGGGCACCTCTATCACTGGCTTACAGTCAACTATAGAAGCCCTGCAAACACAAGTCGCGACACTTAGTCGCCAGGTCCAGCAGCTTACTATGGACCGTCGTCGTCATAGCCGATCAAAATCGCCATGCAAACGTTCTAAGTCTAACAACAGGTAAGGTAGCTGTTGGTACCACCAGCGTTTTGGTACCGCAGCTCTTAAATGTATCAAACCTTGCAGCTTCGCCGAGAAGCAGGGAAACCTCGGCCGGTCAGTAACGGCGACGGACGCGCCTGGCCAACACCAAAGTCGCCCCATCCGCGTTAGGGATTTAACTTCCGGCAGCGAGTTTATAGTCGACACTGGTGCCGAAGTTAGCGTTATACCCCGTGGCCCACATGAGGTCGTCTCACCATCGCCGACCAAGCTGCGTGCCGCCAACGGCACACCAATCGCAACGTACGGCGAAAAGCTGCTAACGCTCAATTTAGGCCCGCGGCGAACCTTTCGCTGGCCTTTCATAATCGCTGCTGTGCCTTTCGCCATCATAGGCATAGACTTTCTTCAACGCTTCGACCTCATCGCCGACGCTTAAAGGAAGAAGCTTATCGACTCTAGGACACAGCTCAGGGTTATCGGGACTAGCGCCAACGTGGATGCTTTCACTCCCATTCGTGTCCTACCTCAAGTTTCACAGCCTTTTCTAGAACTTTTCACCAAGCACCCTAAACTCGTTCGCGTCCTGAACGACTTGCCTCCTGTGACGTCAAGTGTCATGCATTACATTTGCACTAAGGGCCCACCTGTTTCGGCCTGCCCTCGCCGATTAGCCCCGGACAAGCTCAAAGCTGCTAAGGCGGAATTCGAGCAAATGCTCGAACTGGGAATCATCCGCCCGTCTAAAAGTCCATGGGCATCACCATTACACATGGTGCCGAAGAAATCCGGTGACTGGCGCCCTTGTGGTGACTACAGGGCACTTAACAAAGTTACCGTCCCGGATAAATACCCTATCCCGCACATGCACGACTTGACCTCAGCTCTAGCTGGCAAGTCTATCTTCAGCAAAGTCGACCTAGTTCGCGCCTATCATCAGATACCCGTCGCGCCAGATGACATTGCTAAAACAGCAGTCATCACGCCATTCGGCCTATTCGAGTACCTCAGAATGCCTTTCGGCCTCAGCAACGCTGCCCAAACTTTTCAGCGTTTCATTCATGAGGTAACGCGAGGATTCGATGGCGTTTATCCTTATCTAGATGACATTCTTATCGCGAGCTCTTCTGATGAAGAACATCTTCATCAACTCGATGCTCTCTTCCAACGCTTAACCCAGCATGGGGTTACCGGCAACCCCGATAAATGCGAGCTTGGCCAGAGCTCCATCGACTTTCTTGGCCACCGCATATCCGCGTCTGGTATTGAAGCTCTGCCAGACAAAATCCAGGCACTGAAGGACTATCCTGCTCCCAGTTCCTTCAAGCAGTTACGCCGATTCCTTGGCCTGGTCAACTATTATAGACGTTTTATACCTAACTGCGCGAGCATTGTTCAACCAATGACTGACTTGCTCCGCGGTAAACAACGGTCTTTTCATTTTCCAGACGACGCTAAATTGTCTTTCGAGAAGCTCAAAGACGCTATCTCCAACATAGCGCTTCTCGCCCATCTAGACACGTCTGCATCACTCTCTCTGACAACTGACGCATCCGACACTGCCGTCGGTGCGGTTCTTCAGCAACTCATCGACCATCGATGGATACCTCTAGGTTTCTTCTCGAAACGTTTACAACCTGCCGAATCGCGTTACAGCACCTTCGGTAGGGAACCGTTAGCTATCTACCTAGGTATCCGACATTTCCGTCACTACCGCGAACGTCGACATTTCACCGTCTTCACCGACCAGAAGCCATTGATCTACGCAATCAATGGCGCAAAAGACAGGTACTCGCCGCGGGAAACTAGACACCTAGACTACGTTTCTCAGTTTACGACAGACGTACGTCATGTCTCAGGTGCTCTCAATCCAGTTGCTGATGCACTTACACGCATTCAACAGATCAGCTTATCGCCTAGTACCAACATTGATCTATCCGCTATGGCTGCTGCCCAACAAGCTGATCATGACATCGACAAGCTACGACGCCACACATCGTTGAAACTACGTGAAGTCCCACTAGCTTCATCTGAGGGGACCATTCTTTGTGACGTCTCACAAACTTCTCCTCGACCTGTAGTTCCTACCTCAATGCGTCGACTAGTTTTCAATGCTTTACACAACCTGTCTCATCCCGGCATACGTGCTTCGCAGAGGCTCGTAACGGAACGCTTCATATGGCCCAACGTCAATCGCGATGTCCGCCTTTGGGCACGCGCATGCTTAGAGTGTCAGCGCGCCAAGGTCTACAGACACACCAAAAGCCCACTTGGCGTCTTTCCCGCTCCTGACGCTCGTTTTGCACACGTCCATGTCGACCTGGTCGGACCTTTGCCTCCATGCAAAGGCTACGTGTACCTACTCACCTGTGTCGACCGATTCACTCGTTGGCCAGAGGCGATTCCGTTAGTCAACTGCTCATCTGAAACAGTTGCGCAAGCTTTCTTAGAACGCTGGGTAGCTCAGTTCGGTTGCCCAAGCGTAGTCATCACCGACAGAGGATCACACTTCGACGGATCCTTCAGCAAACTGCTCGACGTTCTTGGTTGCCAACATAATCGAACCACCGCATACCATCCTGCAGCTAATGGGATGGTAGAAAGGTTCCACCGGCAACTCAAAGCCTCACTCTGTGCCCAATCTAGCACATCCTGGCACGAAGCACTTCCGCTCGTTCTCTTAGGCATAAGAAACACGATTAAAGCGGATTTGCAAGCCACTCCATCGTCGCTAGTCTTTGGATGCACACAACGCTTACCTGGTGAACTCGTCTCACCAAAAGCGCCAACAACTTTCGACTATGGCGACTACGCAGCTCGCCTATCTCATCACATGCGACAGCTTCAGCCTGTGCAACCCAGAGCACAGAGCTTGCGTACCAACGTGGACGAACGCTTAACTACTTGCACGCACGTGTTCGTTCGCACTGACAGCGTACGCCGACCACTTCAACCTCCTTATTCTGGTCCGTACCGTGTTGTACGCAGAAGCGACAAGACGTTTACCGTTGACTACAATGGTAAGGCTGAAACGATCAACGTCGATCGACTCAAGCCAGCATTCCTCGACAAGTCTGACTCGCCGGTGCAACAAGCACCTTCACAGCCCGTGCCATCACAGCCGGCACCGCAAACGCAGACGAGTCAGCCCGCTCCAGCAGAACCGACAAACACAACCGACAGCACTCCTACCCGCCCTACTCTCAATCGACGCGGTAGGAAACTCAAGCCTCCAGTTCGTTTTTCAGACTTTGTCAGCACTTACTATTTTACGTAGAACGTGCCTTAGAAATTTTCTGCTCTTACTAAACGTTTTTGAAAATCCACAAAAAAGACCAAAACGTTTTGAAACTACCAAAAAAGAGC